GGGGGAAAAAGAAAAGAGAAAAAGGGGGGAAAAGAGAAAGTGAAAAAGAAGAAGAGAAGAAGAAAAAAAAAAAGAAGAGGGAAGGAAGAAAAATGAAAAAAAAAAAAGGGGGGGAAAAAAGAAAAAAAAAAAAAAAAAGAGAAGGAAAAAAAAAAAAAAAAAAAAAAAAAAAAAAAAAAAAAAAAGAAAAAAAAACAAAAAAGAAAAAGAAAAAAAGAGAAAAAAAAAAAAGAGGGGAAAGGAAAAGAGGGAAAGAGGAAAAAAAAAAGAGGGCAAAAGATGGGGGGAGGGGGAAGGAGGGGAGAAAAAAAGGGGAGAGAAAAGAAGAAAGAAAGGGGAAAGAGAGATGGAGAGAGATGAGGGAGAGAGAGAGATTGTGACGAGAGAGGAGAGTGAGGAGGAAGATGGAGAGAGAGAGGAGACGAGAGGAAAAGAGAGAGAGAGAGAGACGAGAGGAGAGAGAGAGAAGAGAGAGAGAGGGAGATGGAGATGAGAGAGAGAGGAAAGATAGATCAAAAAGAGGACCAAAAAGAGAAAAGAAACGGAGAGGGGAAAAGGAGGCGAGGGAGAAACGGATGAGAGGAAGATGAGAGTTTGGGTAGAGAGAGGGAGAGAGAAGAGAGAGAGGAGAAAGGGAAAGGAAAGCGGGAGGAGAGAGAGAGAGAACTAGCTAGCTAGCTAGGTGGGCTATAGATAGATAGATAGAGAGAGAGAGAGAGGAGAGAGAGACAGAAAGAGAGAAAGGAAAGAAAAGCCGAAAGGAAAGAAAAAAGGAAAAAAGAAAAAAAAACAACAAAAAGAACATGAAATAGAGACTGAGATAGAGAGGAAAGAGAGAAGAAAAGAGGAGAAAGAGAATTCGAAAAAACAGTATACATGGATCCTAATTTACTCTGCAAACACGCGAGGTACACAAAATCCTCCCTTACGTACAAAAAAACTCAGCCCCGAGTCCTGATGACAAACCCCCATACTGAGCGCCCCCTTAGCCAGCAAAAGTGGACCACTGTGTTAATTAAAATGAGCCACGTGTGTTAACTTTGGCGGGCGTTCTTACATACCTGTGATAACATCCGCCTGTGAGTGTTCGTTGTGTTAAATGACAAAGGGGGAGAAAGAGCAGATGACGGGCGAAAAGGATGGGGGTGGGTTATATATTGGTTTATGCGTTTAAGTATCTGAAATGGCTCGGAGGGCAAAGGTTTGGGAGAGGGAGTGAGGATGGAGGGGACGGAAGGAAGGAAGGAATGGAAGGGAAGGGAGAGGAGGAAAGGATGGATGAAGGGTGGAGGGAAGTGAGGAAGGGAGGGATCGGAGGGAAAGGGGGGGAGGGAGGGAGGAAGGAGGGTGAGCGGAAAGGAAGGAAGATAAAAGGGAGGAACTTGATGGAGGGAGGAAAGAGGAGGGATGGATGGTGGAGGGAAGAAAAGGAGGGGGATGGAAAGGAAGGAGAACGGGATGGATGGATGGATGGATGGATGGGAGGGGGACCAGAGGGAGGGAGGGAGGGAAGGTGGAAGGGAAAGAATAGAAGGGAATGAGGAAGAGACTGGGGTGGATGGATGGATGGATGGAAGGAGGTGGAGGGAGGGGGAGGGGAAGGGAAAGAGATGAGAGAAAGAGGAGGAGAGAGAGGAAGCGAGAAAGAGTGGAGAGAGAGAAAGGAGGAAGAGAGAAGAATGAAGTGAGAGAGTGAGATGGCGAGAGAGATGAAGAGGGAGAGTGGAGAACGAAGGAGATATGAAGGAGAGAGAGAAGAGACGCGAGGAGAGAGAGAAAGCGAGAGATAGATAGATAGAGAGAGAGAGAGAAAGAGAGAGAGAGAGAGAAGAGAAGAGAGAGACGAGAGAGAGAGAGAGAGTGAAGAAAGAGAGACGAGAGAGAGGAGGAGGTAGACGGGAGGACTCGAGAGAGATGAGAGAGACAGAGAGAGAGACACAGAGAGAGAGAGAGAAGAGAGAGAGAGAGAGAGAGAGAAAAAGCGAGGAGAGAGAGCAGAGAAGAGAGGAGAGAAGGAGAGAGAGAGAGAGAGAGAGAGAGAGGAGAGAGGAGAAAGCGAGAGGAGAGAGAGAGAGATGAGGGAGAGGAGAGAGAAGAGGAGAGAGAGAAGAGAGATTGAGATAGAGAGAGAGATGACTGAGAAGAGAGAGAGAGAGATGAAGAGAGATGAGAGAGAGAGGAAAGCGAGAGAGAGAGAGAGAGAGAGAGAGAGAAAGCGAGAGGCGAGAGAGAGAGAGACGAGATGGATGAGAGAGTAGAGAGAGAGAGAGAAAGAGAGAGAGCTAGAGCAGAAGAGGTGGAGCGAGAGATGGTGAGCGAGAGGAAGAGGAGAGGATGAGAGAGAGAGAGAGAGAGAGAGAGGAAGAGGTAGACGGAGGGAAAGGGAATAGGGGGAAAGCCGAGCGAAAGAGAGAGAGAGAGGAAAGAGGAGAGAGAGTGAGACGAGGATGAGAGGATGAGAGAGTAGGACAGAGGAGAAGAGAGAGAGGAGAGAGAGAAGGAGAAGCGAGAGAGGAGGAGAGAGAGAGGAGAGAGAGATGAGAGAGAGAGGAGAGAGAGAGAGAGAGAGGAGGAGCGAGAAGAGAGAGACGAAAGCGCAGTGAGAGAGAGGAGAGGA